CTGGGCAGGAAGTACTGCTCCTGAGAGGACAAAACAAGAGCGCACGGATGAAATGTCAGAGGTCAGGTGTCGTCTAAATGTCAGCTGTGGCTCGAATACAAGTGATGAATGAAATAGTAGAATAGCGTTGCTACTGGAAATAATCACAATCTTCTCCCTGTGTGTGTGTGTGTCACAACATCAAACCTATTCTTTAAACATCATTAGAAAAGCACGGTCAGACAGTTTTGCACAGGGAGACTCACAAACTCGGAGTGGAGGTCATTTGAAATGCCGTGCATCCTGGCCGAGTGTTGGATGACCCGGTCAAACAGATTGGCCAGGGAGAGGGCATGGCACCCAGCCTGGGCATTGGTGCAGATGGGTGCTGCACCTATGCCGGTCAGTCTTCTGCAGAGTACCGCACAGACCAACACCACCCACACAGCAGACACTAGGACAGACCAAGCGAAGAAGAGAGGGAGTAAATAAAAGAAAACACCCGAAACACAAAACAAGTCTCGAACCTGAATCACATCGTAATCTGTAGAATCCGCTTTAACTGGTTGAATATGAGAGAATGAGTTCGAGGAGGAATGAAAAATGAAGTGAATGAAATTAAGAGACAAACTCATGATGGAGTGGCGGGTTGCGGTAAATGGAGAGGTGACGAGGAAGAGAACACACAGACTAGTGACGGCTCTGCCTTCATGCAGTGTTCTGTACCTGATCTGACGTTCCCAGGCATCCTGCAGGGCGCGGACGAGCTTTCGTTTCAGAGCAGAGGGTGCTGGAGCTTCTCTATTCAAAGACCCCCGCCGCTTCATGTGATGGTCCCTCACTCACCATTTCACTCTTACACTTTAATATCCAACAAAAAAGAGAGGGAGGGAGGGAGGGAGAGAGAGAGAGAGAGAGAGAGAGAGAGAGAGAGAGGGCGGGGGCAAGGAAAGGGAAGGGTACAACATTTACAGTGATCAGCAGCTACTGTCCTGTGAGTCACATGTTTACACGACATGATCATAGAATGGTCTAGACTGGTGTACATCATCAGCCTGGGACGTCACGGCAACGTACATACTGTACGCTGCCGTGACGTCTAACACATCAGCTGCCCTCACCAGGGTTATGTCCCGGTGATTCAACTGTAGCCAGGATCATTGCGGAGGATGTGGTTTGCGGTGCTGTTGAACTGTGTTGTGTTATATAGAGAAGTGTGTGTCTCATTTAGCCTCCCCTGATTGATTCGAGTGGGGTGGACAAAATAATAGAAACACCTGTCAGCGTAACGCAGCACAAACTGGAGGCTGGAAAATGATCATACAGCGACACCTCTTCAACAGAAACTCAACATTGTATTCTTTAATCATGCACTGTCGCCTCACAGTGAGGAGGTTCTGGGTTTGGACCCCGGGGCCTGGGGCCTTTCTGTGAGGAGTTTGCATGTTCTCCCCGCGTCTGCGTGGGTTCTCTCCGGGTTCTCCAGCTTCCTCCCACAGTCCAAAGACGCACATTAGTTTAACTGGCGACTCTCAAGTGCCCATAGGTGTGAATGTGAGTGTGACTGGTTGTTCGTCTCTATGTGTCAGCCCTGTGATGGACTGGCAACCTGTCCAGGGTTTCCCCCGCCCTCACCCAGTCTCAGCTGGGATTGGCTCCAGCCCCCTGCGACCCTATAAGGATAAGCAGTATGGATAATGGATGGATGGATGGATATATACATAGCGCACACACACACATACACACACACACACACACACACACACACACACACACACACACACATATAGTTTTGGGTCAGTAGTGAAGGTAAGGGTTAGGGTTAGTCTCCAGGAAATTAATGCAAGTCTAATCAAATTCCCCAAAAGTGTAAACAGTGTAAACAGTGTAAACAGTTGTAATAGTAAACGTGTGTGTGTATAGTAAACACCACTATTGTGTTATTTTGTAGTGTAGTGCGTATAGACAGCAAAATAGCTTGCACTTAAGCAGACCTTTTGAGCGACACAGTTCCTCAATGCATGAGTGTGTGTCTGCCTGAGTGTGTCATCAGCCCGTGACGTCATTCCCACAGAGCCTGATTGGACTGTCTGTCCGACACATCTGGGTAGTGGGCAATTGAGGTTCACCCAGCAGTACCTGTGAATGTTTATATGTCGTCCAGGTTGAGGTCGGAGCGCTCCAGGCACTAACAGGAAGAGAAGTGTAAGCTGATGACTGAGCCGTACAGAAGCTCACAATGACACCACGGGGCAGCAGTGAATGAATGTCATGTTGTTTAAGAAAAGCCGGTTGAATGACGTCAAGCGATTGTAGCGTGGATCAGACTCACTTTTCTGAGATGGTCAGCTATCATTAGATGACTGATAGAAACACGGGGGAAACTACGGTAGAAAAGGCCACAACAGAAGTATAAGCTGACAGTAGAAGTAGATGCTTTACAGTTATAAGCAGTAGCAGCAACTCAGTATTGTTGGGTTGATGAAAAAGGAGAGACAGTCGTGGGGTGAGGTAAGGAGGCCATTTCCAAAAGTGTCAGCCTCCACTTGTACAGTCAGACCTGGCTTAACTGTGGTGATGATGATGATGATGATGATGATGATGATGATGATGATGATGATGATGATGAATTGCTTGCCATTATTTATTTATTATTTTATTATCTAAAAACTCATCTAAAAGTTTGTGTGAGTGAAAGTAGATTTATTTATCCATAACTGTTTATTATCATTTATATTATAGTGTTTTACTGATATTTTAAAAACATACACAGTAATAATGATGAAAAAACTGCATATTTAAATTCCAAAAGAATTTTTTATTTGTAAGTATATCATAATTTTACAATACTATTAATGAGTGCATAACTACTTTCACTGCAATATTGACACTGTTGCCCCATTTTACCCATTTTCCTGTCTTGTTACCCAGTAACAATATTACTGTACCTCATAATTATTTAATAAATACTTAATTTAAAAAACCATCAGTTTAATTTGATCCACCTAAAAGTTTTTAAGTCTTAAACACAAAGTTGTCAACTCTTATTCTCTAACCTCGTCCTCTTCCCCTGTCCTATTTGTCCTGGTAAGTATTTTATTGTATATACTATATATGTACAATAACTGTTGCAGCCTGTAATCTGAAGCAATACCTAAACATTATTTTCCTAATGACTTCTAAGAAAAAATCTCGTTAGCTGGTTGACATACAACAATACATTTTTACAAACCAGTTAAAACTCTTACTTTGTGTACTTACTTTTTATTTATGTATTTAATTTCATTTTTGTATGAGCAGCGAAAAAGGGCGCTTGTTTTACTGTTATGTGAACAGTCGTCACATTCCCTTCTGCAGCACTATACTCTAGAATAACTAACTAATAGACTAACTTTGAATAACAGTAAGTTGTAAAGTGCGTGTGTATTTTTATATTCTAAGATCAGCCTGTTAGCATGATGATATCAGCGCCATATGATGCTGTCATTGAACTTACAGTATAGGTGTGGCTGCTGAGAAGTCATTCTTTTGTTTTTGAGGTATCTTATCAAAAAGTGTTGGACAAGTCGACCTAGTAGATGTGAGAAGTCATATGATAATCAATCAGTCAGTGATATTAATCCTGTAATTCACAGCATCAGGTGGATGTAAATATGAATAGAAAATTATGGGACTTTACAGCAGAAAGAAATCTATCCATAAAAGATGTGTTAATAACAAGAATATGATCTTGAGCATGATATTTTTGGGGCAGCGACAGTAATACACTGCTGTAGGTGTTCACGCATGTTTTAGTTAGTAAAAGTTTCAGAGATGACAAGAGACTGGCAACGTGACTCTACTGCACGTTCTTACACACATACACACAGACATACACGCAGGGATGTAGTGTTGTTGGGCAGATGGCCTCGTGTTGTCATATTCAGGCTGACCTGCAGAGTAACAGGGTGACTGTTACAGCCGCACATGCCCATGGGCCAGCGCCTTCACAGGCTTTGACCTTTTGCTCCTTTTTTACAGTGCAAGAACTTTCTCTGTGTAGACTGACCGGCAGCTGAAGCTACTACATTAAGATATGTTTTTGTTGTTGAGTTATTGATTATAGATATAGTTATTGTTATTGAAGACTGTATACATTTCTGGTTGGCAAAATATGTACTTATTACTGATTTTAATATTGCAATAGATAATGCTCCTTGTCCTATGCCCTTAAAATAATTTATGCAACATTTTGATCTCATAGATTTGTGGCCAGATAAATTCCTTCTCCCTTCTCTTGTACACTTGGCATATAGCAGATCTGAGTCAGTAGATTAAGAAAACAAAAAATGATACTACGGTATACTACATACTACATTTGAACTTCTCTACTTACAGAACAGTTTACATGAAGCTGACATTTTCCTCTTTCCCTCTCTCTCATCCCCTGTTCCTCTATATTTGTCTATACTTTAGGTACCAAGTATATTATATATAAAACATTGTATATACCACTATGTAACTGTAATTTACAGCCTGCAATGTAAAGCATGTATATACACCCAAAAACCATTTATGAGCCGAGATGAAAATAAAGATTTTTTTTAAAGGAAGAAACAGAAAATTTTTTTTTTCTGTGTCATATCCTTTCCTTTTTTTTATTGAATGGATGTATGGATTTGTGGACGTGTGGTCTATGACGTACATGATACGCATACACAGCGGACTCCCTTGTGCCGACGCAGCAAGAGAACGGTGTCCTTGTTTTATCCCTTAGTATGTCCCCCGAGATACAGCGTTGGTGGAGCAGGTGTGCAAGAATCCACGTTTCAATACACAGAATAAGAAAGACACTTATATCAACTTCACTTTATTTGAAACCACAGATGGACGAGGACTAAATAAAAACTTGGGGATACCAAAATACAGTCACTGAGCACGCCACGTAACTAGCGACGTGACCGCCCGCTCGTCACTCACAGATAAGGAAACGAGCGCCCCCTCTTCCGTACCATCCTGGGAAGTTTGTTGACAGCGTTGTGGGGGGAAAGATGGCGGCGCTCACAGCAGCAGAGCAAACTATGAACAAACTGACTGACACTTTTTCAGACCCCGCTTACAGCCAACATGGCGAACCCGTGTCAGCAGATTCGGGGACACTGCAGGACTTTGTGGTGGATTTTTTGGAGAGAGAAGTCGGCAACGACCTGAAATCACTGAAGAATGTCGGAAACCTGCTGAAGAAGCTGAGAGAGGAAAACAGCGTCCTGGAGGAACAGGTGAGCTCACAGCTTTGACAGGTTTTCACATGGAGCAAAACACCTTCGAAATACATCTGAATCTGAAGAGCAGGTCACTGGAGATGGTTCATATTGTTAATGGCATAGGGTGTCTATCTCGTTTCGCGGTGCTTCTCCCTGGCCCACTGTCACATTCACTCAAATTAGGTCGTAAAGAAACAGTACAAGTGATAACATTGAATCTTGTGGGCTCATTTTTCATTCACATACTTTGAAGCAGAGCAGAGACTCTGCCTTGTGTTTAGCCCTCTCTGCTAGTCGTCCACAGGGCACGGGAGATGACATGTTTACAACTCTTGAAGCCCACCCACTCTGTAATATATGATCCAGTTAATAAGTTGTGATCTGAATGTAAGAGTTGCTTTCTAAAATGCTTCTGAAGCAAACCCAGACAGGCTTAGGCAGGTGTGAATCAGGACTATTCTGCCTTGTTTACAGGAACTACACAGTGCCAACCTCAGGCCTCGACACCTTGATGCAACTTGATGAATCATGGGAAGATCACCTGAATATTTTGGTCACTTTTTGACATACCCGACCTTATACATAAGCATATAGTCCTATTTTACCTCAACAAATAATATGCCAGAGGTACTCCTATTCAGAGATGCTGCATTCATGACAGTGCAACCAGTACAGAGGGTCATGCAAAACAATCCCCAGCTTGGATCAAAGTTTGCAGGTTGTGTTTACTGTTTTAAATACCCCACATTTCATAAATGTATGTCAAGACATTTTCTTGTCCACTATGTCTAGGATGGTGCGGAGGAGACAAACTACAAATGAAAGTAGTAGGTGAGCCACAGCAGCGCTCGGCCTGTTAGCAGGGAAAATAGTGAATGATTGCTAATGTTTACGGAGTCAGAGATCATATGATAAAGAACAAACAACATTTATACATTGACTGTGCATTGATATTACAGAAGCTCTGAGAATGAATAACACATCTGAACCACAGCAGATATAAATGTCATGTCTTCTTTGAAATCTGTGACTATTCTTTTCTGTCACATCATCAACCAGCAACAACAGCAGAGCAAAGAACAACAAAGGACACAGACTCACAGTCACTTCATAGCCCTTTAATATTATACTGACTGTTGAGCCACAATGAAAGGTTTGTTAAAGTTAAATTAAAACAAACACAATGTTGGATAGCCCGTAAGACAGCACTTAAAATATCCTCAGTTATTTGAGGAATATTTTAGAAATAATGTATCGAGTCTGTGTATGGATATGATAGGAATATTATACAGGGCTTAAAATGATGAATCTGGAATCAAACATGGTTTTGAATAAATAGATTAATAAACTCCTTGTGCAGTTGTGTTGTGTTTGAAGGATCAGTGCACGAACATGTGTTAATGGAAAAAAGTTAAAAGGCAAACGAGTGTGTGTGTGTGTGTGTGTGTGTGTGTGTGTGTATTAGGGTCATTTCAAGTAGCACTACCACACACACATGCAAAGGCAAAATTGAGTAC